TGTTTCCTCTCTGAAAATATTCTTCACTTCTCTACTTTCAAAAGCTCTATCTAATTTTGTATCTTGCATTTGGCTTTTAAAGACTGCACCACCCCGGGATTGAGGGATCCTCTTCCATGCTGTCTTCACATCTTTGTTTCTCAGGGTGTATATGAGTGAGCAGAGCACTGGGGTGATAACATCATAGAAAAAGGACATGAACTTGGCCTGTGTGCTATGGGCAGGGGGCTGGAGGTACATGTACATGGAAAGGCCAAAGTACATGGTGACCACCAACAGGTGGGAACTCCACTTGCTGAGTGCATTGTACCTTCCTTCAGCTGCAGAAAACTTCAGGGCAGCCCTGGCAATGAAAGAGTAGGAGATGAACACCATGAGGGGAGCCCCTAGTGCAAAAGAGATGGATCCTAAAGCTAGGGCCAGCTCATTAGCAGAATTGACCCCACAGACCAGCTTGATGAGTGCAGATACCTCACAAAAGAAGTGGTCCGGGTTGTGGTGGCCTCAGAGCAGGAGCTGGAGGGTGGGAGTGGTTTGGAACAGAGAGTTCACCAGTGTTCTGTACGAGGAGATAGCTGCCATATGCATGCATACCCAGGACCCATACCGAGAGTGTACTGGAGGGCCTAGCAGATGGCCACATAATGATCCATGGCCATCATGTCCAGCATGATGCATTCATTGCAGCCCATTCAGGTGAAAATATATGCCTCTTTGATGCAGCCCCAAGCAGCAATGTTCTTGTCTGGTCCCCAAGGGTGAGCAGGAGCTCAGGCTCTTTTTTTTTTCTTTTCTTTCTCTTTCTCTTGCTCTCTTCCTCTCCCACAATGTTCATCTCACTTTTTGTTTCCGTTCCTGCCCTAATTTGGATTTCTTCTTTCTTTTTATTTTCTTCACTCTTTTCCCTTCTCCCAATTGTCCTTAGTTTCAAAGGAAAGTGAATACAGTTTCTAGCTTTCCTATTGCTGCTAAGTTGCTCTGTTCTTGTCTTTGTTGTTTCATTCTGTCTTTTCCTCTTGTCTTCAACAGTTCCCTAGAGATTGCATGATCTTCGTGTGTCTTCTGGCCTCACTTCTAACCTTTCCCTATCCTTCTACCTATCACTCCCTCCCTCCCTAACTTCTTCTAATTTCCCATCCTGAAGGGTAAACTTGCTATATTGAAGAGTTTATTCACTATAAACATATTTTGGGCTGGTCTTTGATTTTTATTTAATTCACACATAGGTGATAGATTAATAACTACCACAAATTGTAATTTTCTAAACTGTACTTTATAGTATTGTTATTGCTGATTTTATCACTTGGGCCCAGGTGTTGTGATTGATCTAATCAGTTATTCTTCTGGTATAATGGAAATGAGATTGCCCCAGAGTCACTAGAAACTCAAAAACAGAAGACCAGCTACATTTGGAAGACACTTTGGAGAAATCCTTCCATAAGTGTTCTAAATATAAGCAACAATGATACCTACAATAAGAAATATTGAACTATTAACCCTGGAATTAAACCAAGGACAGTTCCAACAACAAAAAAAGAAATGAGAAGACATTTAAGCAAGGCATAGTCCCAAAAGTCCAGATCAGCAAAGGCAAATTGTGGGGGAAATGAGGTGGAAAATTCTGATAATCAACCACCTGGACACCCTGAACTCATAGCACAGGGAGTAACAAAACAAGCAAATGAGGCTGTAGAGAAATTCAAAACAGAAGTAATTTTTCAGATAACTACAGAGGTCATGAGTAGAATAAAAGCCATGATTAGAGACTGTAGAACATAAACACAAAATAATACATGAGTTCAGGATCATGATGGAAGTCATGAATCCCCAGCATATGAAAGAAATAGAAACCATGAATACACAACATAGGAAAGAAATAGAAACCATGAAAAAGATTCAAACAGATATACAGGAGAATAAAAACTCTATTGAAAGTATACACTGCAGACTGAGACAATCTGAAGACAGAATATCAGATATAGAAGACAGGATGGCAGACAGTGACTATGAAAAGAGAGATCTATTAAAATTAGTAGGGTCCATGAGAAATAAATGCAATAGCTCCTAGTTAATGCAAAGAAGAAGAATATAAGAATGATAGGAGTCCATGAAAAAGCAGGAGAAATTACAAATGACATAAAAAATAACTGATAACAGAATTAATGACAGAAAACTGCCCAAACAGAGCCAAAGTATTTGACATACTGATAAGTAAGGCATATAGGATTCCAACTAGCCATGATCAAAAAAAAAAATTCTACACCTAGACATATAATAATCAAGATCCCAGAAACCCAACAGAAGAACAAAATACTACAACCTGTTACAGAAAATAAACAAATCACCTGTGAAAGAAAGTCCATCAGAATCACAGCACACTTTTCAACACAAACCCTCAAATCTAGGAGAGCCTGGGGTGAGGTATTTCAAGCACTAAAAGAAAGCAACCTCCAACCTAGACTGATGTATGCTGCAAAACAACCTTTCAAAATTGATGGGGAAATGAGTTACTTTCATGAGAAACAAGACCTGAGAAACTTCATGAATACAAAATCAGCACCCCAAACTATTCTAAAAAATATCCTAGAGAAAGACAATGAAGGTCACAACTCCATGAGGCCCAAAAGAGCAAATCCATCAGGCAAGGCAAGAAATTAAAAGGAAAGAGGGAAAAATAAAAAAGAGCCAACAACAGGAAAATAACATGACAATGACAAGTCAGTACATATCAGTTATAACCATTAATGTCAATGACCTTAAATCACTAGTAAAAAGAAACAGACTGGCAGAATGTATTAAGAAGCAAAATCCAACAGTATGCTGTATACACAAAACACACCTAGTTCAAAAATTAACTCATAGACTGAAAGTAAAAGGAGGGAAAACAGTTTTCCATGCAACAGAAACCTGGATAAAAGCAGGGGTATTTATCTTATTGACAAAAAAATTAAATTTCAAACCAAAAGTAATTGAGAGACAAAGAAGGTCACTATACCCTTGTAAAGGGAACAATCCAAGAGGAAGAGATGACAATCATAAATATACATGCACAAAACACTAATGCCTCCAAGTATACAAAACAATTATTACAGGATATGAAAAACCAAATAAGCACTAATACAGTTGTAGTGGGGGACCTTAATACCCCACTGTCACAAATAGACAGATCATCTAGATAAAAGATCAGCAATGAAATTTTGGGGAAAAAAACAACCTTTTGAACAAATGGACTTAATGGAAGTCTACAGAGTGTTCCACTCCACAAAATCAGAATACACATTGTTTTCAGCTGCACATGAGTCATTCTGTAAAATAGACCACATATTAGTTCATAGAAAATGTTTCAGTAATTACAAAGGAATTGAAGTTATTCCATGCATATTATCGACCATAATGCAATTAAACTGGAGATCAATAGCATAAGAAACTTCAAGAACTTCACAAACACATGGAAATTGAATAGCACTGTCCTGAAAAAAGAATGGGTCACAGAGAAAATTAAAGAAGAAATTAGACAGTTTTTCCAATTAAATGATAATGCCAATACAACATATGGGAATCTATGGGACACAATGTAAGTAGTTCTATGAGGGAAATTCATACCACTAAATGTCCACACTAGGAAAACAGTGAGAGTTCAAATAAACAACCCAATGCGGAATCTTAAGATCCTAAAAGAAAGCAAGACAAACACAAACCTTGAACTAGGGAGGAAATTATAACGATCAGAGCAAAAATCAATGCAATGGAGACTAAGAGAACAATGAAAAAAAATCAATGAATCAAAGAGTTGGTTTTTCAAAAGAATAAATAAAATTGATAAAACCTTAGCCAATCTTGTCAAAAAAAAGGAAAGGAAAGGCTCAAATCCATGCAATTAGGAACGAAAATGTTGAATTCACAATAGAGCCAGCAGAAATCTAGAGGACCATCAGTGCCTACTTTAAGAACTGGTACTCTAATAAAATGGAAAGCACAGAAGAAATGGACAGATGTCTGGATACATATGCATTACCAAAGTTTAATGAAGAAGATACAGAAATTCAAAACACCCCAATTACAATGACTGAAATTGAAGTGAAATTAAAAATTTACCAACAAAAAAGCTCAAGTCCTGATGGCTTCACTACTGAATTCTACAAGACTTTTAGAGAGGAACTATTGCCACTACTATTTAAACTTTTCAATGAAATTCAAAGGTAAGCAATATTTCCAAATTCCTTCCTGGAAGCAAATGTTACTCTGATTCCAAAACCAGGTAAAAACTCAACTAAATAAGAGACCTACAAGCCAATCACCCTAATGACTAAAGATTTAAAAATCCTCAACAGTATACTGGCAAACAGAATACGGAAGGTTATCAAGAAGATCATACCCCCTGACCAAGTCAGATTTATCCCAGGGATGCAGGGATGGTGCAACATATGTAAATCAGTAAATGTAACACACTATATTAACAGAACCAATATAGTGAAAATGGCTGTACTTCCCAGGCTGGTCTATAGATTCAATTCAATCCCAATTTAAATTTGATCAGCATACTTCAAAGATCTTGAGAAAACAATCCAAAAGTTCATTTGGAACACGAAGAGACCTAGAATAGCAAAAGCAATTCAAGACAACAAAGGCAAAGTAGTGGCTATCACAATCCCCAACTTGAAACTATACTACAAAGCTACTGTGATAAAAAACACTATGGTACTGGCTAACAAACAGACCCAAGGACCAGAGGAACAGATTAGATGATGCAGAAACAACTCCAGACACACTCAGCCACCTCATCTTCAACAAAGGAGCCAAACATCCTCACTGGAGGGAAGATAGCCTTTTTAATAAATGGTGCTGGAAAATTTAGTTTTCAACTTGCCAAACATTTAAAGTACATGTATATCTTTCTCCATGCACTAAACTAAAATTAAAATGCATTAAAGATTTAAATATTTAAACAGAAACACTAGCCTGGGAAAAACAAGATTGGGGTGAAGCTGGAGGTGTTTTGGATGACTGTATACCTCACTTTCCCTGTGGCTATGTTCTGGATCTCCAATCCTGATGATTGGTTTGAGAGTTGTGTCATACAGCACAAGAGAGAGCTATGGCCACCTGAGAAAGAGGGCCAGCACCAAGAGCTGGAAGAATTCAAAGAGAGAATCTGGAAGCAACAGGAGTAGAAACAGTTTTGAGCTGCCCAGCAGAGCTCCTGAGACAGACAAGCACTTTAATCCCAATCCCTCTGCCCACAAAATAATGCAGACTCACTTCCTTCTTAAAAAAAAATGGAAACACAAAACCATCTGAAAAAGGGATTAGGTAGAACTCTTGTAGACATTGGTGTAGGAAAACATTTCATGAACAAAACCTTAATTGCACATGATCAAGCATAAAGAATCAACAAATGGGATATCTGCTTATTGAAAAGCTTCTGGGCAGTGGAAGGTTCCCACCCACTGAACTTACCCATAGAGCCTGTGACTGGGCAGCAATCCACTGGATTCACCCTCCCCCCACTCCTCTGGCCTCTTGGCTGTACTGACATCTGATTCCACACTACAAAGACAGAGAGGACAATGGACCACGAGACCACTGTACTGGGTAAGTCAAAGCAATCATCACCTCCTATCAGATTTGGGACTATCTTCAGGAGAAGGGCAGCTGGAACCTGCAGTACAACTGTGCAGAGTTCCACCCTACCAGAGGGCAGAGAGCTCAAATTGGGACTTGCAGCCAGAAATCTGCCCGAATCTCATGGGACTGTGGCTGGCTTACTGAGACTCATTGATTTATATCTGCACACTGCTACCCATGTTGTCTATTGTGACAACAGAGACATACCCTGAAAGAGGCCCTACAGTTTTATTCTATTTTTTATTTCTAAAATTAGTATTATTGGTTTGTTTCTTTTTCCTCTTTTCTTTTTTCCCTCTTAACTTTAATTTTTTTCTCCTACTCTGCAAATTTTTTCCTCTCCTTCTTTTCTTCTTTCTTTTCTCCTTCCTTACTCTCTCTCTCTTACACTCTCTTGCTGCCCCCATATTGTTCATCTCCCTTTTTGTCCCTGTTCTGGCCTTCATTCAGAGTTCTTTATTTTTCTATTACTCTCTTTTTCCTACTTGCCTGTGTCCTCTGCCTCACAGCTAACCTTCCCCTATCCTTCTACCTATTTGTCCCTCCCTTCCCAACTCATTCTAACTCCCCACCCCAAAGGGTAAAGTGTTATATTGAAGAGTTTATTCACTATAATCATATGTTGGGTTGGTCCTCAACCTTGATTTAATTTACACAGTTAAAAGTGATAGATTAATAACTACCACAAAATGTTATTTTCTAAGATGTACTTGATATAATGGTGTTGCTGACTGTATCATGTGAGCTAAGATGTTTTTATTTATCTAGTCAGTAATCCTTCCTAGTATAATGACAATGAGATAGCTTCAGAGTCATTAGAGACTCAAAACTTAAAGACCAGCTATATTTGGAAGACACATCTGAGAAGTAATCATTCCACAAAGGTTCTAATTAGAAGCAAAAAAGTTATTTACAATAGGCAATTCCAAAGTATCAACCCAGAAGTTAAAGCAAGGACAGTACCAAAAACAAAAATGAGAAGACACTTAAGCAAGTCACAAATTCAGACTTCCACCCCACCAAGGGTCCCTGGGGGAAATAAGGTGGAATAGTCTGATAACCAACCACATGGTCACCCTGAACTGATAGACAGGAAGTAACAAAACAGATGAATGAGGCTATAGAAAAATTCAAAGCTGAAATAATCTCCCAGATATCTGCAGAGATGGTGAGCAGAGTGAAAGACATGATTAGAAGCTCTAGAACAGAAACAGATAAAAAAAATAGATGAACTCAGAAACATGCTGGAAACCATGAATACCCAACATAAGAAAGAAATGGAATCCATGAAACAGATTCAAACAGATATTCAGGAGATTAAAAACACCATTGAAAGTATCCACACCAGATGAGGGAAATGTGAAGATAGAATATTAGATTTAGAAGACAGAATCGTGGATAAAGACCATGAAAACAGAAATTTCTTTAAAAGTAGTAAGGGACCACGAGAAATCAATCCAACAGCTGCTAGATGATGCAAAGAAGAATAACATAAGACTGATAGGAGTCCATGAAAAAAACAGGAGAAAGCACAATTGACATAAAAAACTGTTCACAGAAATAATAGTGGAAAACTTCCTAGACAGAAGTAGAGAATTGGACATACAGATAAGTGAGGCATATAGAACTCCAACTAGCCATGATAAAAAGGTCTACATCTAGACATATAATAGTCAAGATCTCAGAAACACAACAGAAGAACAAAATCCTACAAGCAGTTAGAGAAAAGAAACAAGTCACCTACAAAGGAAAGCCCATCAGAATCAAAGCAGACTTCTCAACATAAACACTCAAGTCAAGGAGAGCCTGGAGTGAAGTATTTCAAACCCTAAAAGAAAATAAATTCCAACCTAGACTGTTGTATCCTGCAAAATTATCTTTCAAAATTGATGGGGAAATTAGATACTTTCATGACAAAGAACACCTGAGAAATTTTATGAACATCAAACCAGCACTACAGGCAATTCTAAACAATATCCTTGAAAAAGACAATGAAGGTCACAATTCCATGAAGCCCAACAGATGGAAACCACCAGGCAAGGTAAGACACTAAAGGGAAAGGGAGAAAAAAGAAATAAAAGATCCAACAAAAGTAAAACATCATGACAAGGATGAATCGATATCTATCAATTATAATCATCAATGTTAATGCCTCAATTCACCAATCAAAAGAAACAGACTGACAGAATGGATTAAGAAGCAAAATCCAACAATATGCTGTATAAAAGAAACACACCTAACTCAAAAAGAAATTCATAGACTGAAAATAAAAGGATGAAAAACAGTTCTACATGCCACAGGAACAGAGAAAAAAAGCAGAGGTAGCAATCTTATTTGCAGAAAAAGAAGATATCAAACCAAAACTAATTAAGAGAGACAAAGATGGTCACTATATCCTTGTGAAGGAAACAATCCTAGAAGAAGAGGTGACTATCCTAAATATATATGCACCAAATATGAATGCCCCCAACTATACAAAACAAATATTAATGGACATGAAAAACCAAATAAACACTAACACAATTGTAGTGGAGGATCTCAGTATCCCACTTTCACAAATAGACAGATCATCTAGACAAAAAGTTAACAAGGAAATTCTAGAACTGAACCAAGCTATTGAACAATTGGACTTAATAGATGTTTACACAGTGTTCCATCCCACAAAATCGGAATCTACATTCTTTTTAGCTGCACACAAGTTATTCTCCAGAACAGACCACATGCTAGCTCATAGGACATGTCTAAGGTAATATACATGAATTGAAGTTACTCCTGTATTTTATCAGACCACAGTGCAATAAAATTTGTGATCAATAACATAAGAAACTGCAAAACCCCTACAAACACATGGAAACTGAATAACACCCTCTTGAACAACCAATGAGTCACAGAAGAAACTAAAGAAGAAATTGAACAATGTCTACAAATAAATGAAAATGCCGCTGCAAAATACAGGAAGCCATGGGACACAATGAAAATAGTTCTACATGGGAAATTCATAGCAGTTGTTCACAACCATATTAGGAAAACAGAGAAAACTCAGATAAAAAACCTAATGTAGAACCTCAAGCTGCCAGAGAAAGAAGAATATAACAAATCCAAAGCTCATACAAGAAAATAAATTATAAAGATCAGAGCAGAAATCAATGCAATGGAGACTAAGATAATGATACAAAAAAATCAATGAATCAAAGAGTTGTTTTTTTGAAAGAATAAGTAAAATTGATAAACCTTTAGCCAACCTTATCAAAAAAAGAAAGAAAAGGCACAAATACATGCAATTAAGAATGAAAAAGGTGAAGTCACAACAGACCCAATGCAAATCCAAAGGATCATCAATACCTACTTCAAGAACCTGTACTCCAGTAAAATGGAAAACACAGAAGAGATGGACAGATTCCTAAATACATACCAATTGCCAAAGTTAATTGAAGAAGATATAGAAATTCTAAGCACTCCAATTACAATGAGTGAAATTGAAAATGTAATAAAAACTTACAAATGAAGAAAAGCCCAGGTCCTGATGGCTTCACTGCTGAATTATACAAGACATTAAAGAAGAACTATTGCCATTACTCTTTAAACTCATCAAGGAAACTGAAATGGAAACAAGGCTTCTGAATTCATTCCTGCAAGTAAATGTTACTTTGATTACAAAACCAGGGAAAGACACAACCCAGAAAGAGAACTACAGGCCAATCACTCTAATGAATATAGATGCAAAAATCCTCTACAAGATACTGGCAAACAGAATACAGAGGGTCATCAAGAAGATCATACACTCTGACCAGGTTGGATTTATCCCAGTGATGCAAGGTTGTTTCAACACTTATAAGTCAAAAAATGTAATGTATTATATAAACAGAGTCAAGTCAAAAGCCATATGATCATCTCAACAGATGCAGAAAAGGAATTTGACCAAATCCAACACCCATTCATGATAAAACCCTACAGAAAATTGGAACACAAGGTCTTTATCTCAACCTGATTAAAGCTATCTATGAAAAACCAACAGCTAACATAATACTAAATGGTCAGAAACTGAAAACTTTCATGTTAAAATTAAGAACAACAAAAGGATGCCCACTGTCACCACTCCTGTTAAATATAATCCTGGAAACATTAGCCACAGCAATTAGAAAAGAGAAAGAAATAAATGGAATAAAGATGGGAAAGGAAGAAGTTAAACTGTCATTATTTGCTGATAATATGATACTTTACATAGAAGACCCAAAAATCTCTGCCAAAAGACTTCTAGGCTTAATTGACAGATTCAGTAGAGTAGCTGGATACAAGGTCAATACTCATAAAACAATAGTCTTCTTGTACAAAAATAACAGACTCAGAGAGAATTTAGGGAAACTATTCCTTTTACAATACCATCTAAACAAATGAAATATCTAGGAATCAATCTAACAAAGGAATCAAAAGCCCTTTCCACTGAAAACTATAGCACTCTGAAAAAGGAGATTGAGGAGGATATAAGAAAATGGAAAGACATCCTTGTTACTGGGTAGGAAGAACCAATATAGTGAAAATGGCCATA